GTCTTTTATATTGATATTTGAATATTTTTTTATCTTTATGATTTATTACATCATATGTACGCAACGTAAGTTTAATGAACAATCAATATTTTCAAGTAGTTGTAATTTTCTAATGAAAGTTTATTGTTTTTTTTATACGTGAATTGAAAGCACACAAATCAGTGTTGTGGGTCTCGTTCTTGATGTTTTACAGGTTTCGAAAACGACACCGGCTAAATTTAAAAGTTTTAACAGTATTAAACCAGTCACCTACCCACGATTATTAAGCGCTAAGTATTCATTACGCAGCAGTTATATAAAGTGCGGTATAGCATCAAAGATGTTTTACCAGTAAAACCCCTTTGGTAGTTGCTACTACACCTTTGCAATGATGTTTAGAGCGCCTCCATTATTTTTGTTTACGTCACCAACCGCCATATTACTTATACGCCAATCCGCAGTTATAACGCGCTATTCAAAACTAACCGCTACTATACGTTGAATTACGCATAGGCTTAGTACATATTTGTAGTACATGCTGGTATTTATGTTAAACGTTAGCGATTATCCCTGATATTCAACATGTCTAGTAGATCTGCTGTGAATCTTTTTTGGCTTCATAAAGAATTTACTGACACCAATACTGGTTTTAGTTTTATTTGCTGACCTTTTTGATTTTTTTATTCATTCTGTTTTTAATACGTTGTGGGGTTAACGTGTAAAAAATTTACAGTTAATGTGTTAACAAAGTTTGTTTGATGCTTTATTCTTCATTGTGTAATTTACTACAAGGTTTCGGTCTTGGACACTGAGGTCTCGACTACAATACTGATACAAATTATATTGGTCTTTAGAAGTGTGTTCATAAGACTTTCACTGGTAGGCCTAACGGTTTATTGTTGATTGTCGGATTGGAAAATAAATTTTAACAAAAACCGTTTACTATTTGACTATTGGTTTTTATAGGAGATAGGTATCTTAAAATTAGCCTAAATGAATTTTGAATTATAGATCTTGACAAGTTTGATTTGAATTTAGCGCAAAGCTACACGATGGCTATCCACGTTAGCCGTTCCTAATTAAATTAGTGAAAGACTACAGGGTAAGCAGCAGGACGAAGATGTGTAAGACTTATGCGTGTGTATCAGCCAGTGGTAGGCCCATGTTCTGTGTAAATAGTTTTTACCAAATAATTGCTAACGCCCGGTATGTCGATATATGCTTTGGACAGAATCACTATAATTTAACTGTCAAGTTTCTCTACTTGTGAGGCCTAGCCACCGAAGAGTTTAAGTTAGTAATACCGGTAGTTTAGCCACCACCTATACAATAAGAATAAATACTGTAATAGATGAAAATACTCTAATTCTAAACACACTTCATTTCAAACAGGTTTACACCACCTTAATATTGTATTCTGTGCCACAGGGTTGGCTGAGGCCGAGGCGTTGGATGCCATATTGAATGTTTATGACGCACCATTAAATCTAAAAGGTGTAGACTTTAATTTTTCTCTTGATTGGAATTAAGTAAAATTTGGTAAAATATATCGCAAATTGTGTAAAAAATGTTCACTTTCTACTTCTTCAGTGAAATAAATAACTTTATAAATTGCTTTAGTTTAACTAAAAGTTAACTTTGAAAATATTTTTATAGCAGTATTCATTACAACTGTATTCAGTTTACACAATATTAAAACAGCTAATAAAAATCATATAGTTATTTCTCCCAGTTCTGTTACTACCTTTTGAGTGTGTGTAATTATTTATAAAAAAAACAAAGGAAGATTTATTACTTTATCGAGAATCAAAACCGGCCTTAGGAAGAAACGAGCTAAGCAGTCCCTTTGGTCTCACACATGAAATTTGAAATCCAATGAAATATTCCGACTTGGGTGCCATGACCAATTTAAAATAATTTTACCTCATGATGACAAAAACCTTGTCGAAACGTTGTACATTTGCTGTTATGTTAAACTTATATTAAAGTTTTTCTTCATTACCCATTCACGCCGTCTCCAGCCAGTAAAAGATTTTGATTAGACATTCTTAAGTGCGCCTTTTTGCCAACCAGCGAGCACGTGTGCTGATATTGTGACGTCATATGTTTTCGAACAATTTGGACTGAAAGAAAAGGGCCCCGCGAGCTATTCTGCCTTTGGGTCTCGCAAACTATAGAGTAGGAACTGTCGAGATTACTGCAAAAAGAGAAAGGGTACAAAAATGTCATACACTAAAGAAACCTTTAACGAGTAGATACAGAAGTTTAAAATATTTTTATGGCTATTTATTGAGATTTATAAAATGCGATTCTGTGGATACATAAAAAAAGTTATATTGGGAAATACAACTGGCAAATTTTGACATCACGTATCAAATATCCGAACAATTTTTATGCTATCCTAAATAGTACTGCATTTTCCCGACTCACTTTTTTTAAAAACCAGTGGGGGCAAGGTTTCGTTTGTAATTACGCATAAAACTACACAACGGAGTGGGGGCAAAGTTAGGGGAAGTATTGTCCACTTAAAATACTATGAAAAGTCTTAATTTTTTCGCAATTTTAAACGTTTTTTAAAGCATGGGTTCCCAAGTTTTCTCAGCACAAGTCCCCCAATATTATTCCTGATCCTGACTGAGGCCCCCGCCCAATGAATCAATAGATTGTGTGTATCTGCTGTGTCCACCGAGGGGGATCGAACCCCTAATTTTTGTGTTGCAAATCCGAAAGACTTACCGCTGTCTCACCCATAGATTCAAGTACATCTAGTCCGTGTAAAGTAATGAAATTGTGTAATAAATTCATAACAACTAAAATAAAAGATATTTAAAAAAAAAAACATCTGAAATACTCTTAATTTTCAACTAAACTTTTATTTATCACAGTACAAAATTCTACCAGTTCTTCACAGCTGTCTAAAAAAAATAACCACAGTTATTAATAAAAAAAAAAAAAAAAAATACAACAGTTGTTATATAACGAACAAAAAAATCTTGCCTTAAACACAAGGCTATTGTAAAATACAAATACTCAACTGCTGGGTTCATTTGTCTACACATTCTAACATATTGTAGAAAGCCATCACCATTGAAAGACACAAGAAACCAAGGTTATCTAATTTTTATGTAAGTGTAAAACATTCTCGAAGTATATACGAAATTCTGAGTTCCTGACACAAGAGGTAGAAAAATAAAATAAAAATTCAAACTCTTCTGTTAGAATTATTTAAACCTTCAGGATTATTATACTGTCCAAATGTATTTCTTATAATTAAATAACATAAATATAACTTTAATAACATTTGTTTTTTACGTTTAACCTCACCACCAAAATATTCTCTGTGTTACTAGAGAGAAAATGAAAATGTTGACAGCAGGTGGCAACTTACCTGAGGGTTTTTGTGTACTTGTTATCATCACCCTAAACCAATATATACACACAAAGTAATCATGGGTTTTAATATACACATGTGTCTTGGCTATTGAAATAAAACCTGCAAAATCTTGAGCACCAATCAAATTAAGTTATAGAAGCTCAATACAGAACCTCTATTTTAATACATACTCCAAGATCTGTACAAGTTTCTGATTCAGTTTTTATCACCTGCACAATAGACACTTTCTTTCATTAAACAAAACAATTCCTAGGGTAATTATAATAAATCTATTATCACAAATATAGTATTTGTATAATTATCTTAACTGAATAGTTTACCACACAGAACAGATGCAACACAGTAAGGTAAATTCATGTCACAACACTTAAACCTAATCTGTATTCCTTATAACACAACTTTTCTCGAAAACAAAATTTTAAGTGTTATTAAAGCCCAGTATCCTATTGGTTATTTTGGGAAAGGAAATTACAGAAAGATTCATTCAGTTTAAGATACAATGAAATATCAATACTTTAAATAACAATAGAGCTTGAACTGTTCTACTTAGAACAACCACCTATCGATGTGCCAGAAAATTAAAACTCCTGCAAAGTCAACGAATACTTAGTTCCACAGGAAATTAAAATTCTTTATGTCATAAGGATTAAATATTCTTGATGATAAAATAGAACACTCGCATACCTTATACCATAATAGACTCTAATATTTTAATCCAAGTTAAATGTTCTGTCGTTTACTAAAATTTTCATATACACTTTACAATCAGACGTTAGATACACACCAAGCTGATAAATTATCTGAGCAATCTCATTTTACACAATACATAGCTAACTACTTTTTCAGTATTGTTTAACCTAGACATTCTTACTATTAACCAATGTACTCTTAACTCCATTTTCACTGAAAGCTTTGAACAGAAAAGCCAGTACTATGAATGGTAAACCACAATACTGCAAATTCTACCAAAAAAAAAAAAGACATCTTTTCAACAACTAGGTACAACAGAAATAAACAAAACAAAGATTCATAATCCCCGGTGATTTTTTTCCTTCACAAAGATCAAGTAAATGTGTCAAAGTATGCTCTTAAATAAATAATTTTTGTAAGATCGTGCTTCATCATTCATCCAAACACTAATCCCAACCTGGACTGGTATAAAAATATTTCACATGTGCAACCAGGAGTATATATTATTCCAAAAAACCACAAATTTTTCCCATAACCTCAATCAAGGCTCCTAGAATTCATTCCAAATTTTTCTCTTTGTCCGACAGATTGGCAACAATACTATATTGACACAGTTTCAAAGTCAAATATGATATTTTTGGCGGTCATATACAAGTACAAGAGATACCCAAATGTTTCTACATGGCAATGCATAATTACCAATAAAAACTGGTCTTCTGTTAATTGTGTACGACTAAAATGTAACAAGCAACTGTTTTTATGTTAGTAAAGTAGTTATTATAAAATTGGCATTGAAATCTAGCCAAATACAATACAAATCTAATTTTTTTTGTCATGATAGGAAACTCTAAAAACACTGTGATTTAAAAACTGTCCAAATAAACATTAATTTTCTAGGATGAACAGTTTAAGTCTTCATTAGACAAGTTGTCTCTTCATGTTTCTTGACTATTTTGTTCCAGGTTGTTTCTTTCCAATGATGATAATCCACTGAAGCTTACGATGATTGTGTTGTAAAATACTGTTTAATAGCAGTCCGATTTTAAAAATTAGAAACATATTCAATAATAGACTTCGATTTTATCACCGTGAGAATGTTTTTCTCTTGACGTCATAAATGTAGCTGGATGTCTACTTCTGTTCAATAGAGTGAATAGCTGTCATTCTCGTTAATGTTTAAAACACTGTTTTTGTTTCAAGATTCGTGAACAGAACAGTATAACTAAATAACAAAATATGTTACCACTCAACACGAAGTAAACGTTTAAATAACCTAAATGTTTCGTAAGTCCAGCAAGTGATTTCCCTTTCCCCCTGAATGTGATCCCCAATTATTCCATCCTTTTGTTTTAAATCATTTTTAAGTTATCAAAAATTACTTCTGGTTTAAAATGATATTTTCCTGAAATTTTTTTAGGGGATAAGTCTATCTCTATTAGCTGTACGAATTAAATAATGATTTCAAAAAGGTATATCCATGCAATAGTTACCTTTACTTTCTACCATAACACTAGTGTTTCTCTACACGACGCAACTACGCTTCTTAGATCCTAAAACTTTCATTTCTACCATCTATATGTCTTAGACGTAAGTATACACTTGTGCCCAGACCCTGCATGGACTCGATTGTCAAGGATCCTCCTAGGTATTCGGCATAGGCCCTTGACGTTGGAAGGCCAAACCCAAACCTGAAAAAGAATGAAGAAACTATAGACGTGGAAAATCGCTATCAACTTAACAAAATGTGTTGGAACTATCTAAAATAATCATGTTTTCATAGCTCATTTTGAACCATTATCTTCAAAGTATAAAAATCTTAAAGTCCATGTCTGAACTAAACTAAAACAACCAAGATAACTTTGTTGACAAAATCAGTACTTATTTATATATGTGGTGATCCTTTGAGGGTACCGAAAGAGATCTTGCATGAAGCATACGAAACAAAATCTTTATCTAAACCATTACTTGACA